ATGTGTTCTATTCCCTACCCTGTTTCACTTTTTAAAATTGCTAGTCATGACCCACTAAATTGATTTCACAACCTGTTAATGAGATGACCTCGTTTAAAAAACACTGGTATAGGCAGATATTAACTGAAATTATGGTGGATGACAGCGTGCAGAATAAGAAAGGACTCTCTGACAGAGTCCTGAGGCAATCCAATAATTAACTGTTCTGTAGAGGAAGACGGAACCTGGAAGAGAGTGAGAAGCAGACAGGTGAGAGCACTCCTAGGAGAGCCCGAGAAAGGCTGGGTTTCAGAAAGGAGCAGTCAGTCGGGCATGGCATGCCCTGCTGGGGAGCCGAGTTAGATGGACGCAGAGGATTCTAGTGAAACTCACCTGGGTGGAGCTGACCTCTGGTGAAGCAGCCAGGAGAAAATTGACAGCTCAGGTGTAATTGGATGATGACTTTGACATGGTTCATGCAGGAGTTTTTGTTGTCTTGCCTGTTGTTTTGGTTTGGTTTGGTTTTTGTTTTTTGGGGCAAGGGCTCACTAAATACCTGAGGCTGGCCTTGAACTCTTGATCCTCCTGCTTCAGTCTTCAGAGTGTGGGATTACAGCTGTGTCCTACCATGCTGGGCAATTTGCTTGTTTTTTGAGTAAAGAACCATAGGAACATTGAATGAATACTAAGTGGTAAGTGTGATCAGAATTTTACAGAGGATGAAACTCAAACACCAAGAGGTTAAGTAATACCTATTCAGCTTTAAAAGTCCAGATATAGGGCTGGAGCACAAGCTCAAGTTATAGCACGCCTGCCTAGCAAGCACAAAGCCCCGAGTTCAAACCCCAGTATAGCAAAAAAAGTCCAGATCTAGAAAAAGAGATAAATTTTTAAGCCCAGCTCAGTTTGTAGCTACCATCTGAATTCTCACCAGTAGACTACATTATCAACAGGAAAGGCATATTTTACTTTTTATACCTTTGATTTCAAAGTCTAAAGTTGCAAAACACAGAGACCAACAAGGAGCTGTTCCAAAACACACTATCAGAGGTTTTCGAGTCCTAGGAAGAACTTTCCAGGATCAATGTCTAAATAGCCTATTGGTTAGAAAGTAGATTTCATCAGTGTTAGGCTCCTGATTTCATTGATTGAACCGTGCTTGTGCAGGAGGATGCCCTCACTTGGGGAAAACGTATGTTGTCTTTCCGGGAGGGATAGACACCATGTAATTGGCTGAAATGATTCAGAACAGGGGTGTGTGTGTGTAGAGACCACGAAAGCAAGTGAGGTAAAACACTGGGGAGTCTGAATGAGGAGTTTAAGAGAATTCTTGCAGCTTTCTACAAGTCTGAAATCATGTCAAAATAAAAATGAAAGTAGGGTAAAGTAATCATATTTTGAAATCTATACATATCAAAAATCTGTTATGAGAAAATTCGCAACTCTTTTTATTAAGGTCAGAATGTATTAATTTTAAAAGGTCATTGCCGGGTATGAAGAATTCCACACCTGGAATCCCAGCCGCTTAAACGGAAGAGATAGGAGGATCTCAGTCTAAGGCTGACCCCAGCAAAGGGGCCAGAAACTATCCAAAAAGCAAACTAAGGGCAAAACTAGGGCCTGGTTCAAGTGGTAGAACACATGCCTAGTAAGCCCACAGCCCGGAGTTTAATCCTCAGTACCAGAAAAAAAAACATTAGTGGGCTGGGGGTGTTGCTCAGTGGTAGAGCACTTGCCTAGCATGCACACAACCCATGACCCTGGGTTTGATCCCCAGCATTGTAAAATAAAATAAAATGAGTAGTGCCTGATTAGCTATGCAAATAGAGAAACCACCAGGCACTTCTATGCGTCTCTTGATAAACAGCACAGCAAGATCTCGAACTATATCCTCAAAACTTTAAACCTGCAGAAAAGACAGAGAACAGAGGACTAGCCAGGCTAAGGAAAATTCTACAAAGCTCTACATCAGTAATCTTATACCCTCAGCAAATCAGTTGTGGGAGGGAGGGGAAGGGAGAGAGAGGAAGAGAAAAGGGGTGGGAGAGGGAGAAGAGAGGAGAGGAAAGAAGAGAGAGATTGAAAGAGATCTTTAAAAAAAAAAGGCAAAGCTAGTGTCTATGAATACATGTTTAGGTGACAAGCTACAAAGAAAACATCAGAAGGACTTAGCATAAAGGTGGAAAAGTGGCTGGCATCTTCTCCTGAGTGTGAGGACTTGGGATTGTGTTTAGGAGGGGTCCCTGAAAAGTTACGGGGTCTTGAGTGTTTTCCTTTCACTGGGCTGGAGAGTGTCATAAGGGTCAGTCAACAATAATTCTTCTATGCACACTTTACCTTTTTTCCCTGAGAGTCTGTTTTACTGAACTCCAGGTCCCTAATGAAGCAAGAAGACACAAGTGGTCTCAGGTTGCCACCTGGAGTTGCTGTTAGGGATTGCAGACTTCTCTGAAATTGCTTAATGTGGCTTCTAAAATGATAGCAATTTGCTTCTAAGTTTTTAATTCCTAAGAGAAATTCCTAAGTTTTTAATTCCTAAATTAAAAAGTCCAAGCAGTACAGTAGAATGTAAAATGAAATATTGCCATTGCCTTTTCATCTTCATCCCCTAATTCCATTATAAAAGCCTTCACCTACTTTCTAGAAACATCCTTGTGTCTGATTCATAACTTAGAAACTATTGACTTCCTCCTATAAACATAAAAATTTATTACCACTTACATTGTCTCTTCTATCAGTTCTTGACTTTTGTTCATTTTTTCTAGATATTTCCTTTATGTCTAAATATTTAAAGCTCTGTCTTGAATTAGCCCTTTTAGAAAATCCTTATTTGTTGGAAGAAGTTGAGGACATTAGTGATAACACCTACATCTTTATTCACCTTACTTCTTCTCTACCACTTTTTTTGTAGCAAATCAATTTTTCATTGTTAATAATAAGTGAACCTTCCACATGTGTCAGTTGATTTTTAAAGCTAAAGACTCAAATATTCATCTACAATATGGTTGTAATTATTATTCTGATCAGAAAAAAAACATGTGGATGGGTCCAAAAAGAAAAACAATCAGCCAGATGCCAGTGGCTCATGCCTGTAATCCTAGCTATTTGGGAGGCTGGGCTCAGGAGGATCGAGGTTCAAAGCCAGCCCTGGCAAATAGTTCTCAAGACCCATCTTCAAAATAACCAGAGGAAAAATGGACTTGGAAGTGTGGCTTTACAAGTGCAGTGCTCTGAGTTCAACACCCAGTCTCACAAAAACAAAAAGAAGAAAGAAGGAAGAAGAAGAAGAAGAAGAAGAAGAAGAGGAGGAAGAAGAGGAAGAGGAAGAGGAAGAAGAAGAAGAAAAGAAAAAGAAAAACAAAACACATACCCCATTACTTGGTTCCCTTTTGGCCTATTAGCCAAGAATGTCTGTTAACAGCACATACAAGCCAGATGTCAGTAGGGATTAAACTGTCCAATAACTAGTGGTTTCTGCTCCTGTCTTCTGACATGCGCATAAAATACTGCATTATAGTTTATCAGTTCACTTGTCTGTCCATCCATAAGCTAAACTGTTTTAACTTGTTTTTGAACTCTCAGAGTAGAAGAGGGAATGTCACAAACCTGGGTACAAAATGAACCCTAGGGACATTCCCCCTCCCTCAGAAAAATGTACTCACACAAATTTTCAGTATAGTTTCAGGAGTTTGACCTGGGCCGCAAATTAACTTGTGCCCCAAACAGTTTCCCTTTAGGGCTGGAATCTTGTCTTCTTTTGATATGTTGCTAGCATCTCACTGTCCAAGCAGCCACTGATCCATGTTTGGTTAAATATTAAGATCCTTGCACAGCGCTCTACCCCAGTCCTAGAGTCGCTAGTTTTACAGAACACTCTAGATCAGCACAGATTTACCTCAATAGGAAATATTTTTATTAACATAACCGGGCAGTTTACCAAAATGCAAAATAGGTAGCTCAAAATCTGTGTGTTTATTACACTGAAAATGTGACTGGATTGTCTGCACAGCTAGGTTTGGGGGCTGCTAATCGTCGAGTGGTCTATTTCTCGAGTCAGGAAGACATACGGACAAATTACGCTCTCCCCATTCCTTCGCAGCACACTGCAATCCTATAGCAGGGGTGGAAGCAGAGATGGAGGTAGAGCCAGGATGCTCGGGGTGGACTCCGAATCCTCCCTAGATCGTCACTGTGACTTGGGGATAATGATCTCTACATCAAAGGGCTGTTGTAATAAAATGGAAGAGCAGCAGACCTATTATTATTATTTATTATTTCTACCCATCACCTGACAAGTCATAATTATGACTGTCTCAAAAATCTTTTCCCTCTGCAGCTCCATGGGAAGATCTGAGACAAATACTACAGCGCTGACCAAAGCCTTTCGTGAAGAGCGGTCAGTCAAGAACCAGCCCAACCCTCCAAACCCTTAAACCTCAGCACGTCGTCGGACCTGCGCATGCGCAGGAGCGCTCGCCCCACCCTTCTGAGGTGAATGGCCTGTTCCATTCCTGAGGGATGCTGACGGTGTGGGGGGCATGGAAGAGTGGGCCCGGAAGTGCTGGCGCATGTCTAGTATTTCAAGCCTTTCACTCCATAAATAATAATTTGTGATTATTATATTTCTATCTTGATTAGTGAGATAGGCTTCTGTAAAAAGTGAGTTCGGGACGGTTCCATTATCCATCTGTTCCCCCTCACCTGGGAGCATTAGGGTTGTCCGGCGTGACGGCCAGGTTCGGAAGTCTCCGAACCTGGAAGGCCCCGCCCACCCCGACGGGGCTCCGCCCCGTCCCGCCCAACCCCCAGGTTTCCCACCCTTGCTGCGCCTTCGGGCAGCTCCTCCTCCTCTCCGCCCCGCCGGCTGCGGGCGCGGGGACGTCAGCGCTGCCAGCGTGGAAACCGCTGCCGGGCGCGGGAGGCGGAAGTAGCGCCCGGGACCGCCGGGCCATCACCACCGGACTCCGCCGGCCGCCTCAGTCATGGACGCGTCCTTGGAGAAGGTCCGTACGGAGGGTAGGGGGCGGTGCTGCGGCCCGGGCCCCCGCCTCTGAGGCGACTGCTTTCCCGTGAGCTGCCATTGTGACCCTGATGTGGGGGTCGGGGGCTAACGGGCCCGGCTTGAGGAGGGCTGGCCGCGAGAGCGTTCGGCTCGTCGCGCGCGGCGAGGCCTGGTCACGTCACGGGGCCGGGTGGCCGAGAGAGGCCGGGCCGGGTTGTGTCGGCGCCGAGCTTGGCCCTGCGGAGAAGCCGCGGAGGGCCAGCCCGAGCTCGGCGGGCGCTGTGGGATGACAGGAGGTCTCCGTGTGGGCCCGGGAAGAAGCCGACTGCAGGTGTCGTGAGGTTTCCAAGTGAGGTTGTTAGAGTCGTGGGATTCACCTGGGGCCCTCACCTGGGGTCTGAGCCTCTCGGGAGGGGGGCGGGACTTGGGTCTGCGGGTTTAACAAGTCCCCCACGTGATTCCGATGCTGTAGCTTGGCGAGCACCCGGCACGAACCTTCGGGATCAGGAAGGGGTGGGTATCCCACAGATGGTGAATTTCGTTTCCGGGATCGCAGCGGCTGCACAGCTTCTTGGTTCCTGGAGAGACGTTGGTGGCAGCCCCAGATCCACCGGAAGCAGCGCCCTATCCTGGGTCTTCCCTTGGGGGATCCGCAGCGTGGCGATGTACCTGGCTGACTGCTCTGGCATTGAAATGGGTTCTCATTGTCCCTGGTGGAGGGCTTGGGTTTCTTCATGGCTCCTGCTTCCAAGCGCCGAACATTCTGCCCTCCTCGCTATTGTCCAGTTTGTTGCAAACCCAGTTTTTTTCTTTTCTTTTTCACCCCTGCATGGAGGATTGTTATTTGAGGAGAAAATGTGCCGCATGTGCTGTAGATCTGTTCACTTGTCACTGGAGACTTGAAGGCAGGAATTGTAGAAGTTGAGCCAGATGTCGTCATTTGCCTACAGTGGTATATCCTGCTCCTCGAGTATTTAGCATAAATTGGGTGGAAGTCAAGAAAAGTAAAAGATATGTTGTTGTTTTTTTTTTCTTGAATCTTCTGATTAGCACAGTGTCTACCTTTTGGTACTTTTAAGTTTCATTCAAGCTCAGTGATTCTCCACGGGGCAATTTGTTTGGGGGGAGGGGGCATTTAGCAACATGTGAAGATATCTCAGGCTGTAAAAATGTGTGTGGGGGGGTGGGGGAATCAGGGAGGTGCTGCTGGTACCTATAGGGATTCTGCTAAATAAACATCTTCCATTGCACAGAATAGGTCCTCATACCAGAGAATTATTTGGTTCAAAATGTCAGTAGTAGCCAGGCGTGGTGATACACATCTATAGTCCCAGCACTCCCAAGGCAGCCTGGACTACACAGAGAAACCCTGTCTTAAAAAAAAGTCTGTTGTGCTGAAGCTGAGAAACTCTAGTTGAGATCATGTGTGTAACACAGTAGTTGAATGCAAAATGATGCTAAAAATGTTGCTTCTGTGCTTCCAATTTTATAAGAAAGTGGAATGGGCTTTGCATCATTCAGTTAGAAACCTAAAGAACTGGAATGATCTTTTCTCCAAGAATAGCTCTTTATAGGCCGATCTGTAAAACAGAGTGGGTAGGGATCCTGCTTTAAATGTTACTTTTCTGACATTTGATTAGTAGATTACAGTGGTTGCTCAAATGAAGATCTGAAGAAGCACTGAAACTCCAGTGTACTTAAAGCTGGAGCATTCCCAAAAATTGCAGGGAAGCCAGGCACTGGTCTCATGCCTGCAATTTTAGCCACTCAGGAGGCAGAGATCAAGAGGATCTCAGTTCAAAGCCAAATAATTCAGGAGACACTATCTCGAAAAAATCCATCACAAAAAAGGACTGGTGGAGTGACTCAAGCAGTAAGAGCACCTGTCTAGCAAGTATGAGGCCCTGAGTTCAAATCCCAGTGCTGCAAAAAAAAAAAATTACAGGGAATGTTTAGGAATTCAGAACATGAGGGCTAGAAGTCTCTGCTTTAGGCCAGTATGAAAATTATGAATGTAAGGTTTCGTCTTTTTATATTCCATGAACTAATAGGTAACCTTACTTGCTAAGTGGTCAGAAAAGAAAAAGCACTGTTAGGGTATGAATTTTGATGACTGTGTTCTGAAAAGTGAAATATTGGATTGTGTCCATTGTTTCTGTTTCTTTCAGGATTAGATTGATATCCTGGGTTAAATTCTACATTGCTGGATACAAATTTGAGAGCCATTTGAGCAGTTCTGAATGATTGCTTTTAAACTGATCCATGCATAATTGATGTGGCTACAGAAACCAGAATGTTACTTGATACTCACCCTCTGAAATTTCAAGTAATGCTCTCCCTCTAAGATGTATATGACCGTCACTTAGTGGAATCACTCTCCGTATTCCCTTTGATCCAAATATAATTCCGTACCTTTGCTCTTCCTTTAGGTAATATGTCAACTTGCAGACCTTCGATGACAGAGCCACTTTCTTGTCTTGATCTGTTTTTCTTTCATAGTGGTGGCAGTTCTCTTGTATCTGAAATGAGTGATGTCTCAAGACACCAGATAGGTCAATTGAGGGGGACTGGAGCCCCCAGTGCTGTATGCCCAACACCTAAGAAGCAACGCCTGAGAATAGTGTGGTAGTATTTGCTTTTGGTAATGCTCAAGTTACAATGCCTCAGAAAAGAATTGCTCTTACTGATGCTCTTAATCACTCACCTCATTCACTGTTCAGTAAAAACTTGCTACTTTAAGCCTTTTCCTATTGCTTGAAAAATCTTCTTGGGTATTATACTTAGGCAAGGTATATTGCAATTTTTTTTCTTTTCTATTTTGTTTAATTTTTCTGCTGTACTAGAGATTGAGCTTAGGGCCTCACACTTGCTAGGCAAGTGCTCTACCCATTTGAACCACACCTTAGCCTACAGTTTGTTTTGTGTTTAATTCCATCCTTGAGCAAACTTAGAGCCAAGTGTCTCAACCTCAGCCCTCCTGACATTGGGCTAGATGACTCTGTTGTGTGTGGGAGTGGGGGCTATGCTGTCCATCGCAGCGTGTTTAGCCATTCTCCTGACCTCCATCCTCTAGATGCTGGTAGCACTCGTCCCTCACTGTGACAAAATGTCTCAGGTGGAGGGACTTGCCCTGGTTGAAAATAGCAGCCTAAGGAATCTAGAGTTGTATTGTCCAATTGGGCAGCCATCGGCCACATTTACCAACTTAAATCTGTATTAATTACCATTAGATACAACACACGAGTCATTTCCTTATCATACTAACCACATTCCAAGCGCTCAGCAGCCACACGGGTCTTGTGGCTATCATACCTATCCATCTCCAACAGACGTTCTCTTGGACATTGCTTATAAAGCTGGACGGTTTAATTTACATGTCATCTACTTCCACATGTCACGGAAAGAGCCAATTTTAACTCTATTTTCTGACCTAAATAATTACTACTCAGTCCACTTTTGGTTCTGGTACTGATTAAGCAAGCCTGAGCTGGGTTTCTGTGTGAGCCTTTGCAGAGCCCACTGTTGTATACAGAAGGAGAGGACTTGTGTGTGTTGGGGAGGGGGGCACAGCGCGCGTTGATTGCGGCAATTTTAGCTCTTGTTTAAGCTGGTCCCTTCATCATCACAAAGTGAGGGTTTTGCATACAGGTGCATGGAGGCTGTGGTGGTAAATGATTACCTAGCACCGGGTGGCAGAGGCGGCTTATTGTGATTAACATGGTACAAAGATCCTGCTCCTAAAAATGTTTGGTCTTGTGGTTGATTTGTGAGGGTTGTGGAGACATCTGGAGCAGTGTGGTTGGTCCCTGGCCCGGGGTGTTCCTTTCTGTCTGGGACTTTGAGTTATACTTGTCTGTAGGAGTTATTGAGCTTACTGTGGTTTTTCTTCACCTAAAGCAGCAACCTGTTCTGATTTGTACTTGATTACCCCAGGCCAGCTAAGGTCAGAACCCGTGCGTGCTGAGCACTGCAGGAGACATGCGGCAGAGGCTGTTCCTCCCGGGGGTTATGGTCAAGTAAGGGGCATACATTTTACACAAATCCTTGTGTAGCAGGGAATGCATGGGGAGGCTGACCAGAAACATTTTGTGGAGGAGTTTGTTTTTGTTTTTTTTCTTAAACAGTGCCTTGCTGCGTAGCACAGGCTGGTCCAAACTCATGATCCTCCTCTCTCAGCCTTTTGAGTGTGCGATTACAGGAGTGCACCATACTCCTGGTTTGGAAGAGATTCTTTAGGTGGAATGTGTGGTTCAAAATTATGCTTTTCTAGTGTTTGCTTTAATTGTAAGTATAATGTCGATTTTTACTGTATTATAATGGTGCCTCGTATTGTTGCTGGTGTAATACAAACCAAGAGACAGGAAAGCCCATTTCATCTTTTGAAGTTAATCTACATATCTAGCAAAAATTAAATCCATTCTCTTCAAGCGGTAGTAAGAGCCATGCCATAAAAGTGTTTAACTTTTTACCTTATTTACTAGTGCTGTCGAGATAGCTTTTTGCTTGGCTGAAAATGTTAAGCATTAAGCTGACTTATAGTTAGCTAGTCCTTAAGATCCAGCTTCGGTCTCTGTCCACTTTTTATTTCTGTGGAAAATACATTGTGAGTTACAAAGGATTGAGAGAATAGTAAACTTTTCATATAACCGTGCTCATTTTGCAGAAAAGCAGAAACATAAAATAAACCCTTCACTTTAAAGTTGCTGCTTTTGTATCTTAAAGGTCTCAGGCACATAGAGGTATCAGGAATTGATGGGGTTTTTTCTTTCCTCAGAATTCATCTTACTGTGTTTAAGATGAGGCTGCCAGCATTAAGCCTACATAATTGCAGTGTGATTTTGGAAATAATGATACTGTTAAGGATAGTAGATAGCTTTTTTTTTTTTTCTTTTTCTTTCTTTTTTGGCAGTGCTGGGGATAGAACCCAGGGCCTCACACATGCTAGTCAAGTGCTGTACCATTGAGCTACATCCTCAGTGCAAGGATAACAGACATCTTTCTGATTTGATGCCCTGCTGATGAGTACTAGGAAATTAAAGCAGCTTATTTCAGAGAAAGTGCTGTATCCAGTTACTGTAGCATGCTGCTCCTTAAAGACCTTTTTTTTCCTCCTAGAATGAGTATGAGATTACAGATGAACTAGAAAAATTTTAGAAATAAAGCTTGCCTGTCATGTGGTTTCTTTCCCCCTGTAGTTTTTCCGAAGTGTTTACTCCTGATACAGTGTTGAAGTAAATGGATTCCAGAAGCAGTGCTTTTTAGGAATATATTGTTTGGAAATTTAGATGTGGATCTCTAGCACTTCCAGCTGTGGCTGAGCTTTGCTATCTG